ATTGCAGTTTTTGAGTTGTGTCTGCTTTTTCAAAATTGAAGATACTGACGTTTGTTTAAGAAAATAGTGATTGAAACTTTGCACCAGTCATGTTGAAATTTATATAGCACATTTTTAATTTCTCTCTAAAAATGTCCGTATAAGTGAAAATTTATCAGAAAAGTTAAACTCCATGATGAGTTTGTTATGTATATATTTAAGAATTGATGACAATTAACCGAACTTGTTTTTTAAAATAAAGGGGATATCTGTCAAAAATAAGCAAAACGTTAACTTTATCCTAGTTGCATAAAATTTGGCATATGGATATAAAATTGCCGTAGATACAACTTTTTCGAGTAACTTTTTGTTAAATTCGATCTAGAAATGCACCTTTTCAATTTTTTTCAAAAAAATTTGAATTTTACAAACACTGAACGTCAGTGGGTCGCAGTTGGCCGCATCATTTCAAATTAAATTTAAAGCACAAACAAGTGCTGAAGTTAAACTTCATTGAAACTTTTTGAAAAAAAAAGTTTCCCATATGGTGCGCACTTTAATGGTGACACTGTATCTCTTGGGATTCATTAACAATCTTGCCTTTGGGGGAACGGATAAATATGGAAATTTTATTGTTGGCGGCGAATATCGTCTTCATGTCCTGTTTTTTGAGAACCCGACCAATTTTGTCAGTTACACATTCAATATAGAAAAGGAAAGCTTTGTGAGGAACGTTGTCGTCTTTTGGATCTTTGGGACTGGACAGATGGATGGATCTGCCAATTTGAAGGTTGATTTGAGTTGAGCCAGCTCTTGTGGCGGTCTGCGAGGTTGATAGATCTGTGGATGAGATAATTCAAGACGGAGTTGGTTTGTGCTGGATGATGGTGAGAGTCTGCGTTGAGGTATTTGTTTGTGTGTGTTGGTTTCCTGTAGACTGTGTGGGTGGAGGAGTTATTGGATTTTGTGATGAGGACATCTAAAAATGGATGGAAATTATAGGTTTCAATTTCCATTTTGAATTTTATATTCGGGTGAAGGTAGTTGAGGTAATCAAGGAAATTGTAAAGAGTTTCGGAGCCGTGGGGCAATATGTGACAAATACGTCATCTACGTATCTGAACCAGTAAGAGGGTTTGTGGTCGAACGTGTCAATAGCCTTGGTCTTCCATGAAAAGGTTTGCGAGGACTGGTGAAAGAGGAGAACCCATTGGGGCGCCTTTCACTTGTTTGTAGAAGATACCTTGGAAGAGGCTGTGTGCTGGATATACAGTGACTGATGAGGTTGAGGGTGCCTTTGAAAATTTGGTGTTTCAAAAATGTTCACTGTGTCTGATACGGGGATATTTGTGAATAAAGACGACACTACGTTGAAAATCACAAGGATGTCAGTCTGTTGAATATTGAGGTTTTTGAGGATTTCAGTGAAGTGAAATGAATTTCGTACGTATGACGTACGTGGGGCGAATCTAAGGAAAAAGCAGATTATGACGTTAGAGACAACTTATGACGAGTACTGAGAAGTAAGCAGATTGAGGCTCCAGTGTCGAATCATATCGATTTCTTGAAGATGGTTCCAAAATGGGAGTCGAAACGTCGAACACCTATCGCGGAAACCTATCTGAACATACTCACAGACATACATACATACACACTGATTAGAATTAACTAATCTGCTAATTAAAACAATTCTGAAGTTTGATTTTCACACGTTTCATATTATCCTTTGTTGAGGGCCGACCAAATATTTCCGAGGAAGCAAGGTCATCACTTATTAAAAACATAAAGACACCTCTTTGTGATCTACCCCCTTATTTCAAATCATTGCTCTTGAAGGGAAAGACACAGACTTCATTTAAATCAACCGTGACACTTTCTGAAACTCGACAACCCTTTTAATTACGCGACAGTTTCACTCTGGAAATTAATTTTGAATTGTACGTACTTTCGAGAAACCTGGCCTACTGTTACGTTGGGCCAACTGAAGGGCTTTGCTTTAAGGACCAACTTTCATCGATTGAGGATTTGGGAGAGAAAGAATCGTCTTGGGAACTCATGCATGAATTTCTCGTAGTAATGTGTGTGAGACATTAGTTTCTTTGATGATGTGAAATGGGGTTGAAGCCACGAATGATCTTACTTCTTATTTCACGAACCTAACTTGCTCATTATCAACTGAAAACAACTCATTTCATATAATGAGTGGCATACCAAGAATAGGCATTTGAGCTTATGAATAATTGCCACTCATTTTCATATAGCACAGAAATTACTATTTGACTGGAGAATCTAGAATATGAAGCTGTTTTTTTCCAAAAGTTCTGTCCGTTTTTATGATTCTACTTCAAACAATTAGGCGATGAATACCTGATACATACTTCTTAAAAACATATGAGTCTTATAGTGGAAGAGTAAAAACGGCAAATCAAGTGTCTGTAACCCTAGCAATGTACGGTAGAAATGCACGTGCAACCGTTTGCAATTCCTCCCTATTTTGACTTGTGGAAGTCTTTAGTTTCATGGCCTTGTTGATTTCGGGTACACTGTATCCATTCGATCTTGAGGCCATTTGAAGATGATCCAATTCTTCTTGTTGCTGTCCTGGTTCACATGTCCTACTGAGACGTTCCATTAGGGTGTTGATGATTCCTCGCTTTCGACTTGGATGGTGATAGCCAACTTCCTCATGGAGAAATTTGAGAAGAAGGCAATGGACGCTTTCGATTTCAAACCAACCATTTGGTTACGATACGTGGATGACACCTTCGTCTCTCTGGAGACATGGGAGAGGTAGACTGAACCTATTTCTAGAGCACATAAATGCTCAACAACTTAGCATCAAGTTCAACATGGGGACTGAACAGGAACCACGGATGTGTACCGGAAACCGACACATACGGATAGATATCTGCATACATTTTCGAACCACCACAGGTAATAACACTTCGGTTAACAGCAACGCTCAACAAGAGAGGGGGACTACCTGAGTCAAAATGAATACAACTTAGGAACTAGAAATCACCAGTCATCGGTGAATCATCAAGATGAATAAACCTCTGAGGAAGCCAGCCACTCGTGCTTGCGAAATGATTGGATGCAGTTCCAAACTACGACGGCCTTTAAACCCGAATGGAAATAGTAACACTGAGAGGGGATACATTTCTGTTTGTATGTATAACAAAATAAATTTTTTTGATATAAAAAACTGATTTCACAAATGTCGCACAGGATTCAACACCTTCGTATATGGAGGTGAATTTTCCAAAAATGAAATTATTTCCTATATTTCTGTCCTACTCTTTGTACGGAGTTTCCATCATAATTGAAATTTGAATATTTGAGAGCCATACAAGAACTTTTGGCCGATGAACCCCCATATTTGGGTTATTATCAATACTTCTTCAGGTTTTTCATCTGCGTTACCTACAAACGACGCTATTTTCCTAACTTTAGAGCTATGAGGACATTTTTACGGAGCATCAAAGGAACCCCTTGAAAGTTCAACATTAGCTTGGAGTCCTAAACCCAATAGCTAGAACTAAATCCAGATGTATATAAAAGGTTACAACTGAAGACAATCGTTTTAGTCATCTCCTGATGATGCCAACTTGATTACTAAAACACGTGCGTCAGACAGGGCGCGTCAGTTCTTGTGAGTGAAGAGTGTTTTCATCAAATGCTGAAACATGAGAAATTGTGTTTCATCCTCTCACAACCCCTCGCACCGCCCCTGTCTTCAACCCTGCTCACATTTACATGGGGCGCGTATCGCGGTTTTTTATTATTTCTTCAACACCGAACGCCACACCCGTTACAATGATTTTCATCTCATTAGGAATGCGTGGAATTGTATTCTGCCTCGGTTGTAACTTGCACGCTGACAGATATTCGCCGGAATCGTACCACTAAATTTTACCTACAACGTCGGTCGGTTCTGGGGAATTTTCGTTGTATGTCGGGGATTCTGTGAGTCACAGATTTACTGGAGAAGTGAAATCGATAAAACAGGTGTTTGGAAAATGAAATCAACCCAACTCAAGTCAATATTTTCAACTTGAATTTTGTGAATGCATGCCTTGGGAAAAGTGGCCTGGCGAATGCTCTTCCAACTTTTGAAAAATGCGTTGAACTATTGATAGAGCAGGGTTTCAACAGAAATCAAAACAGTCTTATTATTGTGTCAGGGAAAATGAATGAAAACGAACTATGGTAACCAAAGATGAAAAAAAAACCGCTAATAAGAGGCTGAACAAGATGCCAGATTTGCTTGATTGGGATGAAAGGGAGGCAAAGAAAACGACACCAATAGCTGCATTGGAGACGCCCTTGAAATTTACTTCATACATCTTGTGACAACGGATGAAGCAAAGGTAAGAAAAATCAAACTGGAAGATTCACCAAGCTACAAAATGGAATTTCGGTATGCGGAGGAATGAACATCAAGCATGGTCTCGAAGTAGAACCCAGTGAAATATATGTTCAACACAAACTTTGCGGTCGAAGTCATACATCGTGAAGAGTGGAGAAAGAAACAGTAATCTCAGGAATATGCCCGTGAAAAATCCTTGCTACACAGACGGGTCGGGAACCAAACATGGAATGAGAGTTGTAATTCAATGCGGGGGAAAGAATCACAGTCAATACACGTCAATTTTCCAGTATCTGCAAACTTTGGAAGCCCAATGAAAGACAATTTCATGCCTCAACAAAATGAGCCAATCCAAATTTACACAGAAAGCCAGGCTGATAAGCCCATAAGTGGACTGAAGGTTACTTGGGAATGAAGTGAAGTTTTGAAAAAACTGGTAGACAAGCCACAGTCTCAGGGTGAAGCTGGAAAACTCAGATCTTGAGATGACTGAACCATCGATGAAAAATCAACCTTCATCCATTCTCGACTTGAAAGAACTAATGTGATTAAACAGTAACGGTACATTTTCAAAGAAAGCTGTCAAAATTGAACAGCTGTGGAAGATTATAGTGAGCGGAACTTTGAACGATGAAGATATTTTTATACTCACAGACAACATTCAGCCTGAAGTAATCCTCCAAACCCACTCCGTTAAGTTTTGGATTTTCGCCGATACATCTGAAGATGCTTCCGTCATCTTCGGGAACAGGAACAAATGTTATTGTTGTTATCACTGAAGTGTCATTGCCCTCTTCTATCACCTGTAAAAAACGTTTCAGATTAGCAAGCACCAAAGAAAAACAATGGCGGGAGTTATAGTTTTCGTTTAGCAATATTTACCTTTCCTCTTCTGAAGGGTCGATTATCTCTAGTCCAAGTGACGAGAGCTTTCGGTCTAGATCCTATTACTTCACACTGGACAGATATTTCCTCATCTGCTACTAGTTGTTTCGGTTTAGTTGTTAGCAAAACTGATAATGGTCGTACTGTAAAGAGAAAGTTAGTTGAATAGTTTTCTCAAGTTTTTTCACTCTCAGCTGGTAGTCATCACTAAATTTCTCGTGTAGCTACCCCTGGTTCTAATCAAAGTGGCAATTATTTTGAATGGACTGATTTTTTGGGTGTATACTTACGCAAAAGCTCAAGTCTAACTGTCTTCTCTACTGGCATCATCAACTTGGTATTACTTGCTTGGCACTTGTATGTGGAATTGAGATGATCTCTGGTGACGGAATTCACATCTAGTCTGTTGACAATCACGTGGTTTCCAATAGCTTCCACGTGACCTTCTATTATTCTATCGTTCATGAACCAGGAAACAGTAGGAGTAGGACGACCTGAAAATATAGGTTGATAATGATAGTAATATAAACAAACATGGTCGCTTAATTTTTTCAACAAAATACAAGTGAATGAGCAAAATTGACCAGGGAGGCGGAGTTCAACCTGGTTGGACTTTCGTGGTAAGCTGTTATGCAGTGTAGCATTGTCTCAATTGGTTGTTTTTGGCAGAGACTTGTTGCTTGTTGCAGATGTGGAATTTATTATTTCGTTAATGAATGTTTTTGGAAAAATCATCAAACATTCCGTTACCTAAAATTTAAATAATTTTCATGTCACTTCAATCGACGAATTTTTTTATTGCTAGAAAATGAGTGGTTCTGGGCTATCGATTTTTTGTAGATGATGTTGCAGATGAAATTCAAGACATTGATGCTTGAACTTCTACTATTCTTACAGATTTCCTGATGAACGAAGGATTATATTTTTCGAAGCCTATTTGCACGATAGATCACAGTGTGTATCATTACATGGGATTGAATTGAATGTGAAATCTATCAAACATGGTGTACCCCAAGGTTCTGTACTGGGGCTAGTTTTGTTCATTGTATATATAAATGACCTATATTTCCACCTATATTTATTGAGAAAACTTGACGATTTAGGTATAGGGACATGATATATCATCTTGACGCATTTTCCACCATCTTTCAATTTACTGAGTAATATACAGGGGGTTTCATTTGAAGAAATGAACTTTTGACTACTTTTATGCACAATGGAAATAATAGTAATTTTAGCACGCCCTGTATGATATGGAGTCGATTTCTTGGTGTCATTCAAATATTTCGAGTTTGTCTAAACTATCATCAAAATATCAATTTTTCATGAATTGAGAGTACTGATGTAATTAATTTTAATTAAGGCTATGTTTTGACCATATTTAGCACAATTTATTTTTTATCTCGAAAACAGATAGATATATGTATATGACATTATTAACAAAGAAGTATTAAAATATCAGAGCAATTCCAAAAATGTATTAATATATGGGGTGTTTCTTCAAAAAAATTAGTTGCTAGGAATTTTTGATGGAAGTGGCAACGCCGCACTGCTGAAAATATTTTTGATCGATAGAACTGGTAAGGAAATGTAAGAGGTGAAATTTTCAGAAAAATCATGCTTTGCGTTTTCCAGAAACGTCAAACCTACCATCGACCGTGAGTCACGCTGTATATTACCTTCTATTTTCTTTTTGTTTTTTTTTTCATCCAGTCCTAATAGAATATTATATTTTTATATATTTTCGGCATTGGTGGAAGAGCAGATACGAGTGCAAATTCGAGATCTGAACCAAACGCCATTTGCACATCAAATACACACTGTTTTTTTGTATTTCTTGTAATTTATTTTTGTTATCTTGTTATCTTGATGGACAATGAATTTATTATTATTATTATTATTGAACGAAAGATTCATGTGGAATGTGAAAATTTCATCTGAGTTTTTCAGGACTGCTGTAATAACGAAAAAGTAAGCTTCATGGATTCCACATTGGGGTTTGTTGAATTTTACCTGCAATATCAATAATTTCATAGAACGTGTGTACTGGAGGAAGAACTGGCTCAAATATTGATCTCTGAAGAATATAGCAACATAGTAGATGAGGTATTACTATAAAAAATCAGTAACATGCGTAGTTCTGTTTTCAATTCATCGAAATCTATTGACTTCACGCAGAATTCATTCATTTCAAATGTTGCTTTCAATTTGCAATCTTCCAAAAAATTAACCTCATCATTTCTCATTTTCTCCCAATACGACAAAGTACAATTCTCGCCCCGTGTACATCACGGGGCGAAATAAACAATTCCGAGAAACTGTAACAGTTTTATGTACTGCTGGCAGTGTGTAGAGTATCGCAGAAAGGAAAAGACAATTCAAGAAAATTCAAACGATTCTCAGATGAGAGCGTGTAGTCCCCTGCCTGCCATTTTGGAATCCTTCCGAAATGAAAGGCGCTAGGTTGCAATTTCACTGACAGCCTTCCAAATACGCCTTTAATACGTGGATATGGAGGAGGGATCCATTAGTGTTGTCGGGAAACGATACAGGAAAACACTGAAGAGTATCAGTGCGGAATGAAATCATCCGTGGTTTTCAGTTATTTCAGGGCTCATCTAGTTTGCAAGAAATTAGATAGTTCTCGAAATCCGTCTCGAAGGACCAATCACTGTGCGATTGTTAGTCGGTCCAAGGATGGGTTACTGCAGTTTGGGATGAATGAAATGTTCCATATTTGGCGTACCAGAATATGAAGACACACTGTTCACTTAATCAGAAAAAAAACCACAACAAGTTGAGACTACAAACATCTCAATGAATATACTTTATATTGAACCATGGAACTCATCCATTGATAAACGATCGTTTCTAATTGACCACAGGACAAAAATAAATACAAATTGTTTTATTGATCTGTGGAGTTGATATCCTCTGTTTCATTTTGAAGATTTTTTATGGATAACTCATCTCAAAGGTAGTTTTTTGAACCATTAGCTATGTTCTCTGAGTATTTTTCCCTCCCGAGTATCCAGTCCTCTCTACCCTGGATAAGGACTACAGAAAGCAGTTCGTAGTTAACTTTAGAAGCCATTGAGCCATTGAGAAGTCATACTCAGAATGTCGTGCTTTTCATTGTCAACCAGAAGTCTATTGCGCTTCTCATAGGCCTGATTTTTGCAATTTCCGATGTGCAAAATTATCTATGTTGCATAATCAGTCTTACTCTCTTCAGATATATATGAAGAGGAGGTAGATCTAGAAGAATTTTTATAGCCTCTGACGATGTGATGCAAATGGTAGTGGATTTAAGCCTGTCTTATCAATCATACCAAATGGATTTATTTGGGCTTCACGCTCCTGAATGTTTCACATATCTTTATGCATGTAGAACCTTTTCCAAGTGAGCATTCAAGGTGAGTTTTTCATGGAGGATGTTACCTAGATGTTTTACTTTCGCTTCCAACAGACATCATCTCTCTACAGCACCAACAATGACCATCATTGGAGAATATCACAGGCCTTTTCGAAGTTCCACTTGGAAAAGTATCAAGGTGATCTGCATAAACTCGCAGATCTACTAATTTTTTGGTGATTGCAGGTAGTTGAAAGTATCTGACCGTCATTACGTTTGTTCAGACAGGAAAGTTGCTTTTCGATTTCGAAGGCCTCGCGAATTATCTGAGCTTGTGGTGTTTTCGCTGTGTCGCTGGTCTGAGTGTTTGCAAAGTCTATGTAGTGTCCTGTCTTTTGATAATGTTTGGACAGGGCTGAGGATGGGTCTGACTTTCAGACAGCAAGTTGATGTTAGTATACTCTACTTGCCATACGTATGTTGGTCTGTCCTACAAAAGTTCTATCGCAATCAGACCTTGTGAATTCATATACAGTGTCACCATTAAAGTGCGCACCATATGGGAGACTTTTTTTTCGAAAAGTTTCAATGAAGTTTAACTTCGGCACTTGTTTGTGCTTTAAATTTGACTTGAAATTTGAAAAAAATTGAAAAAGTGCATTTCTAGATCGAATTCAACAAAAAGTTATTTGAAAAAGTTGTGTCTACGGCAATTTTATATCCATATGCCAAATTTTATGCAACTAGGATAAAGTTAACGATTTGCTTATTTTTGACAGGTATCTCCTTTATTTTAAAAAACAAGTTCGGTTAATTGTCATCAATTCATGTATACATAACAAACTCATCATGGAGTTTAACTTTTCTGATACATTTTTACTTATACGGACATTTTTAGAGAGAAATTAAAAAT